TAAGATAATCTAGAGTCAGTATGTAGACCTACTCCTTTTTTTTAATGCCACCCATTTATATTTATTTTTATTTTTTTAATATTTTATTTTATATAATTCTTATATCATTTTTCATCTTTGCACAATGTATGCATTTTCATTATGGTTATATTCCCCATACAATTGCACCCCCCCACTTATTTTGACTCTAGTCCTTCCTCTCCCCGTCCCAACCTACATTCCCCCCCCTCCCCTTGGTAGTGTGTCTCTGGTTTATAGTTGCTTGTTGATTTTCATTTTTACTTTGTATTGATTAATCTTTTTCCTGGTCTCTTACTTAAGTTTTCTAAATTCCTGCTATGAGTGAGACCATCTGGTATTTTTCTTTTTCTTTCTGACTTATTTCGCTGAGCATGATCCCTTCTAGCTCCATCCATGTTGCTGCAAACTGCATGTGTTTATCTTTTTTGATTGCTGAGTAATAGTCCACTGTGTATATGTACCACATCTTCTTGATCCAGTGATCTATTTTGGGGCATTTGGGTTGTTTCCATAGCTTACCTATTGTAAATAGTGCTGCTATAAATATAGGCGTGCAGGTGCCCTTTGGAATTAATGTTTCTGTGTCCTTTGGGTAAATACCTAGGAGTGGAATTGCTGGATCATATGGAAGCTCTATGTTTAGTAGGTCAAGAAATCTCCACACAGCTCTCCATAGTGGTTGGACCAGTTTGCACACCTACCAGCAGTGCATAGACCTACTCCTTTTAACTTGAGTTCTCTGAGGATTTACTGTCATCATCTCTAAAACTAAGTTGATGGCATATACCTTATAGAAATATTGGGAGAATTAAAAATAAGTAGAAGTTATTAACATTTCATAAGATTGATGCTCTAAAACTAGTATGTGCTATTGTTAGAATGATAGACACTAACTGCATCCTTTCTACTTTGGGTCGTTGGTGAAGGTGTAAGTCTTTGTGTCAAGCCTTAGCTATATAGATGAACTAACTCACATCTTCCCCCTTTTCAGAGGATTTCACTAGGGCTTTTTGGTTCTAGGAAATTGATTTACTTTGGTCCTTCTTATGAGAATTAATGAGGTGTGTTGTGAAAATAAGCCCAGCTTGCCAATTTATTGCTTTATAAAAAGAGGCCACCTATCTAGTGGCCTGAATTTTTATTTAACACATTCAACAGAACATCAGCTTTACAAATATTAAAGTATTTGTGAACACTAAGTGATAGAAATTTGGTGTTAGATATTATCAAAGGTGAGGAAAAAAGTCTGAAGAGTTAGGTCTATATAACAAGAGTTTCAATGTCTTCATGCTGGGAGGAATCAAGAAAAGAACTTATGTAAATTGCTATACCCAAAGTGTCTTAATGTCTTTGGATTACATGACTAAACCCAGGAGACACCTTGGTTATAATCCAGATTGTAAGTAATACGTGTAGAAGAATCACAATTAGCCAGAGGCCTAAGGATAATCAGAGGTAAAAATTTCAGTCTTGTAGGACATATCTGACTGTCCCAATTTTCCCAAATTTATCTTCTTTATCCTTTTGCTTTCTCTTATGCAACTGAGTAAGTGCCTAGCCTTCATAAATCCGAAAGAAATTATTCTTGGGTATAAAGGGATAAGTTGGAAGGGTCTGGCTATTTTTGGATTTAGTAATGTAATGTTTGTAATATTAAGTAATGTATTGTTTGGAAATGCCCATTAGTTCAGTTTGGGTGAGGTGGCCATTCCCATGAGCAGGCCTTGAAGAAGTGCGGTAAGCTTGGAAAAAACTTCTGATTAAGAAGTGTTCACTGATTATCTTTCTGTTCCCCATCCATTTTTTTGAAAAGTGATGATCTTTTTCTCCTTTAAATTTAAGGTTCCTCAGAAAATTTTGAGTAAGTGGGAAGCCAGTGTTGGTCTTGCTGAACAGTATGATGTTCCCAAAGGGTCAAAGAACCGAAAATGTGTGACCAGTTCAATCAAGTTGGACAGTGAGGAGGATATGCCATTTGAGGACTGTACAAATGATCCTGAGTCAGAACATGACCTATTGCTTAATGGCTGCTTGAACTCTCTGGCTTTTGATTCTGAACATTCTGCAGATGAGAAGGAAAAGCCTTATGCTAAGTCTCGAGTGAGAAAGAACTCTGATAATCCAAAAAGGACTAGTGTGAAAAAGGGCCACATGCAATTTGAAGCACATAAGGAAGAATGGAGAGGAAAGATTCCAGAAAATCTTGGCCTAAACTTTATTTCTGGGGATGTATCTGATAAGCAGGCCTCTAATGAACTTTCCAGGATAGCAAACAGCCTCACAGGGTCCAGCACTGCCCCAGGAAGTTTCCTGTTTTCTTCTTGTGGCAAAAACACTGCAAAGAAAGAATTTGAGACTTCGAATTGTGACTCCTTACTGGGTTTGCCTGAGGGTGCCTTGATCTCTAAACGTCCTGGGGAGAAGAAGAAACTCCAACGAAGTCTGATGTGTGGTTCAAAAGTGCAACTCTGCTATATTGGAGCAGGTGATGAAGAAAAGCGAAGTGATTCCATTAGTATCTGTTCCACTTCTGATGATGGAAGCAGTGATTTGGACCCCATAGATCACAGCTCAGAATCTGATAACAGTGTCCTTGAAATTACAGATGCTTTTGATAGGACAGAGAACATGTTATCCATGAAGAAAAATGAAAAGGTAAAGTATCCTAGGTATTCTGCCACAAACACTAAGGTAAAAGCAAAGCAGAAGTCACTCATTACTAACTCACATACAGATCACCTAATGGATTGTACTAAAACAGCACAGCCTGGAACTGAGACATCTCAGGTTAATATCTCTGATCTTAAGGTGTCCACTCTTGTTCGCAAACCCCAGTCAGATTTTAGAAATGATGGCCTCTCTGCAAAATTCAGTGCACCGCCAAGCATTTCCAGTGAGAACTCACTAATAAAGGGTGGGGCTTCAAATCAAGCTTTATTACATTCAAAAAATAAACAGCCCAAGATCCGTAGTATAAAGTGCAAGCATAAAGAAAGTCCAGTTATGGTAGAATCTACAGTTACAAATGAGGACTGCAGTTTGAAATGCTGCTCTTCTGATACCAAAGGCTCTCCTTTGGCCAGCATTTCCAGAAGTGGGAAAGTAGATGGGCTAAAACTACTGAGCAACATGCATGAGAAAACCAGGGATTCAAGTGACATAGAAACAGCTGTGGTGAAACACGTTCTGTCAGAGTTGAAGGAACTCTCTTATAGATCTTTAGGTGAAGATGTCAATGACTCTGGAACATCAAAGCCATCAAAACCATTACTTTTTTCTTCTTCCTCTGGTCAGAATCATATACCTATTGAACCAGACTACAAATTTAGTACATTGCTAATGATGTTGAAAGATATGCACGATAGTAAGACTAAGGAGCAACGGTTAATGACAGCTCAAAATTTGGTCTCTTATCGGAGTCCTGGTCTTGGGGACTGTTCTACTAGTAGCCCTCTAGGGGCTTCTAAGGCCTTGGTTTCAGGAGGCACCCCTCAAAATTCAGAAAAAAATGGAGATGGTCTTCAGGTCCCAACCCATCCTAGCCCCGTTGGTGGCAACTCTGTGCTCTCTGGGGAGTTGCCCTCCTCCCTCCCTGGCTTAGCATCTGAAAGAAGAGACCTCCCTGTTTCTGGCAAAAGTCGTTCAAACTGTGTTACTAGGCGCAACTGCGGGCGATCAAAGCCATCATCCAAATTGCAGGATGGATTTTCAGCCCAGATGGGAAAGAACACAATGAACCGCAAAGCCTTAAAGACAGAGCGCAAAAGAAAACTGAACCGGCATCCTGCTGTGACTCTTGAGGCTGCACTGCAGGGAGACAGAGAGAAGGTTCTTTCAGGAAATGGTTCCTCTAGAGGTGGGGCAGAGGACCCTGGTCAAGAAGAAGAAGAGCCCCTTCAATTAATGGGCCATTTAACAAGTGAAGATGGTGCCCATTTTTCTGATGTACATTTTGATAACAAAGTCAACCAGTCCGGCCCTGATAAAATTCCTGAAAAGGATGCCTCTTATGAAAACAGAAAAGGCCCAGAGCTGGACTCTGAAATGAACAGTGAGAATGACGACCTCAGTGGTGTAAATCAGACGGTGCCTAAAAAGCGGTGGCAGCGTTTAAACCAAAGGCGCACTAAACCTCGTAAGCGCACTAACAGATTGAGGGAGAAAGAAAACTCTGAGGATGCCTTTGGGGTCTTGCTTCCTGCTGACCCTGTGAAGAAGGAAGATGAATTCTCAGAGCATAGACCTCCTTCGACGAACATATTAGAGGATGCACTGACAGATCCAAATCCTGCTGGCCACTTAGATTCAGTTGGGCCAAGGTTGAATGTTTGTGATAAGTCCATTGCCAGCATTGAGGAGATACAAAAGGAGCCAGGAATTCCCAATTTGACTCCCCAGTCTGAGCTCCCTGAACCAGGTAAGGACTTCTGGATAGAAAGGGATTGGAGAAAGTTATGATTAATGATGCTCTTCTGAAGTTGGTCTGTTTTAATAGAGGGACTGAGTGTAAATGGGGAGGGAATGCTTATCACTTGAAGTAAAGAAACTTGGGCTTTATGTAGAAGGGTTTGAATTTTGAGGGCCAAGTTTACATATACTTTCAGAAATTGTTTTAGCAAGAGCTTTTTTCTTTTATTAGCAAGTCTCATTTTGTTTCCACTTCTCATTTCCTACCTTTTTTTTTTTTTAAAGATTTATTTATGTGTACAAGAGCTGGGGCACAGGCCTGAGATGTGGGGGGTGAGAGGATTCACCAGAGACAGAGTGGGGAACAAAACAGGCAGACTGACTGAAATACACTGCTGAGGGGAGCAGCAGGTGAGTCAGGAGAGGTCTGCTGTGCCATGTAGGTTGCTCCCTGGCTGGCCGGGGGATCGAACTCTTGCTGCAAAGGCTGCGGACAGTTTCATAGTTTGTGTCTTAATCCCTTGTGCCACAAGGGAGGCCCTCATTTCCTACCTTTTTAAATCTATGCACTCATACCTACCTGGCAGGGGAGATACATGATCACAAAAGTGGTTTTTCCACATTGAATCTCACCCATTGCATTCCAGGTGTGCTGATACCTGTGATTTCCCAAAATGTGGCAAACTTGATTGCAGAATTTGTGGTAGTGGGTGACTTCATTCATGCTCTCCCCAGGGCAGGGGGAAAAAAAAAAAACCCTGGGGCCTCCCTGGTGGCGCAGTGGTTGAGCACTGGGTTGCGAAGCTGCCCATAGCCTCTGCAGCGCTGGTTCAATCCCACATGGTGCACAGACCTCTCCTGCCGCCCGCTGCTCCCCTCAGCAGTGTATTTCAGTCAGTCTGCCTGTTCTGTTCCCCGCTCTGTCTCTGGTGAATCCTCTTACCCCCACCCCTCTGGCCTGTACCCCAGTTCTTATATGCATAAATAAATAAATCTTTAAAAACAACAACAACAAAAAAAAACCCTGTAAGTTTTTTGTGACACCATTTGGTAGCACAGCTAATAGGCTCTAAATGTAAGATTTAAATCCAGTTGTAGTTTACAGAAAGCAGATAAATTTTATTGTGTATTACACTCCCGTTGACCACAATTTAAGGAAGGTGCATTATTTGATAGACAAAAGGGAACATGTGCTTCTGAAAAAATGAGTGTTTTATAGTACTTATTTGAAGGCCTTAGGTATCTTAACATCCCTTCTAGAATGAGGTTCGAGAATAAAGTCTTAAAACCTCAGATGTAAGGGTATTTACCTTAGCAGCAGAAGTCTTTCAAAGTATTAATATTATACAAGGTAGTTAAAGGTAAAGTTTAATGTCCTAAAAACAAGATTTCTTAGATATTTCCTATAGTAGATTCTGTTTTCTGATAGCTTTTTTGAGATATAATTCACATACCACAAAACTCAGCCTTTTGAAAATTTGCATTCATTTAGTGGTTTTTATTATATTCAGTTTTGCACAGCAGTCAACATGATCAATTTTGCATTACTCCAGAAAGAAAACTTTGACCATTATCAATCTTTTATTTCTTCCCTATCTGTAGATTCACATATTCTGTATGTTTCATTAAGTGGGTTCATAAAATAGATGTTGCTTTTATGTTTGATTTATTTAGTTTGATTTACACTCTTAAAGTGTATTTTATAGTATTAACCGTATGCACATTGTTGTACAGCAGATCTCTAAAACTTTCTCATCTTATGACTCTGGATTCTGTTCTCATTGATCTTCCTTTCCTACATCCTCTAGCCCCTGGCAATCACGAGTCTCTTTTTCTGAGTTTGATTACTTTAGATACATCATCTAAACAAATCATACAATATTTGTTTTATTGTGATTACATTATTTTGCTTAGCATAATGTTCTCAGACTCCTTCATGTAGCATATGACGGGATTCCTTTTTATGAGACTAAATAGTTAATTTTATGTACATATCTCATTTGAAAAATTCATTTATCTGTCAGTGGACATTAGGTTGCTAGTAGGTCTGGACTGTTGTGAATAATGCTGCAGTGAACATAGGTATACAAATATCTCTTTTAGACCCTGCTTTCAGTTCTTTTAGCTATATACCCAGAAGTATGTATGGGTCACGTAATTCTTTTTTTTTTTAAAGATTTATTTATGCATACAAGAATTAGGGTACAGGCCAGAGGTGTTGGGGGTGAGGGGATTCACCAGGGACAGAGGGGGAGCAGAACAGGCGGATTGACTGAAATACACTGCTGAGGGGAGCAGTGAGTAAGTCAGGAGAGGTCTGCTGTGCCATGTGGATGGCTCCCTGGGCAGGGATCAAACTCTTCCTGCAGTGGCTGGAGATAGCTTCATAGGTTGCATCTTAACCCCTTGTGCCACCGGGAGACCCTGGGTCACATAATCCTATTTTTAATTTTTCAGTGCTCCTAGTACCTTTTTCCATGTGACTGTACAATCTTAAAATCCTACCAGCAGTGCACAGGATTTCAATTGATCCCTATCTTTACCAATACTTTTTTTTTTTTTGAAAGATTTATTTATGTATACAAGAGCTGGGGTACAGGCCAGAGACATGGGGGGTGAGAAGATTCACCAGAGACAGAGTGCGGAACAGAACAGGCCGACTGACTGAAATACACTGCTGAGGGGAGCAGCAGGAGAGTCAGGAGACACCTGCTGCGCCATGTGGGTAGCTCCCTGGTTGGGGATCGAACTCATGCTACAGAGGCTTAAGACAGCTTCATAGGTTGCCTCTTACTTAACCCCTTGCGCCCCCAGGGAGGCCCAACACTGTTTTTTTTGGTTGAGGAATTTAGTCCATTAACATTTAAAGTAATTATTGATAGGGAAGGACTTACTATATGTAGCCTTTTGTTGTTTTCTTTTAGCTAATTTGTCTCTTTTCTTCTTCCAGGCTTCCTTTGTGTTTCTTTGTGGGTTTTTATTTGTGAGAAGGAGACTTTTGATTCCTTTTTCATTGTGTATATTTTGTATAGGCAATCTGTTTTTGTGGTTATCATGAGAATTAATATAAAACATTTTATAGCAATCTATTTTAAACTAATAACAATGTAACTTTAATCATGTACAAAAACTATATACTTTCCAATTTCTACTTTGTTATTGATGTCATAAGTTAAATGTTTATATATTGTGTGTACATTAACAATGTTTTATACTTATTTTTGTCCCTGTCTTTTACATTCTAGAGCAGACTTAAAAATGCTTTAAGCACCGCCTTTGCAGCATTACAATATTATATGTTTACCTTTCAGTTACTTTTATACATTTTTAATGTGCTTTGGTGTTGATATCTTGTGTTCTTTTGTTTCAAATTGCAAGATTCTTTAGCATTTCTTGTCAGGGAGGTCTAGTGGTTATAACTCAGCTTTTGTTTATTTTGGAAAATCACCTTCATTTTTGAAGGACAGTTTTATTGAATATAGTATTGGTTGGCAGTTTTTAAATTTCTGTACTTTTAGTATGTCATTTCACTCTCTTTGGCTCTACAAGATTTTGCTGAGAAGTCTACTGATAACCTAATGGGAACGCCTTGTGACTAGTTGCTTTTCTTGGTGCTATAAAGATTTTTTTCTTTGTATTTTGACTATTTGACTCTAATATGTCTTGGTGTGGGCCTCTTTGTGTTCATCCTGGTTGGAGGCCTTGAGTTTCCGAACTTTGCCCTTTTCTTTTCTCAGATTTGGAAGATTATTATTATTTTTATTTTTTTTTTTAATTTTTTTTTTTTTTAATAGAGGCATGCTTTTATTTATTTATTTGTTTGTTTGTTTTGTTTATACATTCACTGGGTACAGTCAGAAGCACGGGAGGGTGGGAGAATTCACCAAAGCCAGAGCGGGGAGCAGAGCAGGCAGAAGGACCTAGGTACACTGCTGAGGGGAGCAGCGGGCGGCAGGAGAGGTCTGCGCGCCATGTGGGACCCTCCTCCGGTGGCCGGGGAGCAGCTGGGGATCGAACCGGCGCTGCAGAGGCCGCGGGCAGCTTCGCAACCCAGCGCTCAACCGCTGCGCCACCGGGGAGGCCCTATTATTATTTTTTAAAAGATTTATTTATGCATACAAGCGCTGGGGTACAGGCCAGAGTTGCAGGGGATGAGAGGATTCACCAGAGACAGAGCAGGGGAACAGAACAGGCAGACTGAATGAAATACACTGCTGAGGGGAGCAGCAAGCGAGACAGGAGAGGCCTGCCTCGCCATGTGGCTTGCTCCCTGGCCAGCTCGTGCTGCAGAGGCTGCGGATTGCTTCATAGTGCAGTGCCTAACCCCTTGCGCCACCAGGGAGGTCCTGGAAGATTATTTTTGGTCATTATTTATTCAGATAAGTTCTCTGTCCTGTCCCTTGTTGGCCCACCTCCTTTTGGAACTCATGATGTGTGTATTGATCTACTTGATAATAGTGTCTATAATGGCAGGGAGGCCACAGAGCAGGATATCTAGGATCGGAGCAGACAATACCAGTAAAGGAGGAGTCCTGGAGCCCTCGATGTTTTTCTCAGGCTTTTGTTGAGCTTTTGTAGAACAGCAACCAGGTATATGGCCGGTAAGGGTGGGGGTGGGGGTTTGATGGGAGCAGGAGGCCGCAAGTCCTCCAAGCCCCTGTCAACTCTTCACTCTGGGCTTCTCTGGCTTTCTTTGTCCTCTTCTCTCTCTCTCCTTCCTTTTCTGCCTCTGCCTCTCTGGGCGAATATCTCAATACTGCTGCCATGGCCCACAGAAGTAAACAATATAACTTATAACAATGTAGCCAAATGCAGGTGCCCCATCAGTCTGGGCCATCCTAATGGTGGGAGGGCAGAAAAGCCTGAAAACCATTTCCTCTACATATCTTATGTAAGTGTCTTATGCGTTTCTTTTTTTTTTTTTGCTCTTCTGACTTAATGTCAAATGACTTTATTTGAGGTTGCTGATTCTATCTTAGGTTTGATTAAGTTTACTGTTGAGTCCCTCTAGTGAATTTCTCAATTAAGTTGTATTTTTTAGCTTCAGAATTTGTTTGGTTCATACTTACAGTTGCTCTTTGGTGATATTTTCATTTGTTCATGTTACTGTTTTCCTGATTTCTCTTTAGTTAATATATGTACTGTTTTAGAAATCATTCAGTTTATTCTTAAGATAATAATTTTCACTTTGATAATTTGTAGATCTCCATTACTTTGCAATTAATTTTTGAAGGTTTATTTTTGATCAGTTGATTGGGCCATGTTTCCCTGTTTCTTCATCTACCTTGTCATTTTTTTTTCTTGAGTTTTGTGTTTGAATAAACAACCACGTCTCTCAGTTCTTTATTGTCTGAATTCATATGGGAGAATACTTTTTCACCAATAAATGCAGCTAGAGATTCTGGGGACCTCTGAAACCTTTTTTTGGGGAGAATGAGTTTCTCTGGGTTTGTGTGTGTGTGTGTGTGTGTGTGTGTGTGTGTAATTTCCTAATTGTAAAGGCTTGTCCATTTCTTTTGCAGGAGCTTCTAATCTCTTGCTTCATCCAGGTTCACTGTACTATTGCAAAAAGCCTCTTTACTTTCATTCTAATGACTCCTGGGTATTCAGAGTATGCCAGCTCTCTGTCAGTTGCCAGAAATAGGCAAGCCAAATACCAGTCTCTTGGGCAGTTCTCCAGAAGTCCAGATTGCTAGATGCTTGTTCCACTCTTACCCTCCCTTTCTACCAAGAAG